TACAGTATTTAGGTAGGGAGACAGTAAGGAGAGAGAGGCTAGTGAGGTAAATAATTTCCCGAGCGCACGCATGAACCACCTACGAACCTTATCTGGAGTGAAGTGGTGTTGCAGAGACTTGGTTTCCTTGTCGACGACAGGTCTGGGGTTCTTGGGAGGAACGTCTGGGCCGTCTCCCAGCACCACGTTCACCAGCGCGTACTCCATCAACGCCAGGAAGACGAACCTGCCGTGGGCGACATGGATGAGTGTGTGGCGACAGGTGATGGAGGGTTCAAATGGGTGACTGTGACTAACAGGTTATGGAGGGGTGCAAACGGATGAGTGTAGCGACAAGTTATGGAGGGGTTCACACGGATGAGTGTAGCGACAGGTGTAAGTGGATACGCAAGAAAGTGGATGATGAGTGTAGAAGACAGAGTTGTTATGCTCAACTGGGTTACTGAGTGTGCGCGCGTTACCTGTCTCTCAGGTGAGAGCTACTTAGTGGTTGTTAAGTGAGAGAAAAACCAATAAGTGTGGCCCGTGATATTTAGTTCACTGTGACTTTTTCCTCAGAGCTTGCACTAGCTACTGCCCAGAATTTCTTGAGGAAGAATATGACGTCTTAGTAAGGAAACTTCCCGAACCTGTCAACAGGGAGTGCTGGAGAACACACAAAATACTCAACATCTTGCCTGCAGACAACATCGTTAAATACAACACCATCAACCTATAGGAGTCCCAATCATAACATTAATAAAGACCTCATCAAATACAAGCAGGACTGCCAAGACCCAAGTAACGCCGGGGTCTACATCATACCTTTCGGGAACAGTGACAGTAATACCTGTGTAGTACACGGAGATAAAAAACAAACACCTGATGTCATGGAAAGACGTCCAACTTGTGAACGAAGAAAGAGACAGAATACGACACAGGTGTCTGAAATCCGCCTTAACTGCATGTAAAATACAGCAGAATCAGGAAGCTTCCAATTTAGCAAAACCTTTAGCCCAACTTCTGTGCAGATATCCAAGAACTAGCTACAAGCAGTATTAAAACAGGGAAGTGTTTTTGGGTATGCCCAAATGAGATAAATCTGTGGACTAAAATCACATTGGTATTAAAAGAGGACAACATCAAAGCTGCTTTCATAGACAACCTGGAAGCTTTCTCCAACAGATGGGAACATAAAAAGTCTGGGCTGGATGGTACTGCCCTTGATACTGGCCATGTAGTCAGAAACTGTAAGGCTCGAAGTGATGTCCTGGTAGTCAGTAAATGTGGGGCTGATAGTGCTGTCCTGGGAGACAGTAATGGTGAAGCTGGAGGTGCTGTCCTGGGAGACAGTAATGGTGAAGCTGGAGGTGCTGTCCTGGGAGACAGTAATGGTGAAGCTGGAGATTTTGTCCAGGTAGTCGGGAATTATACGCAGGAAGGAATGCATATAAATGACCTCATGGGAGACAGGAGCCGTAGTGGGGAAACAAGTGTAGTCAAAGATAAGATAAAACCAATAATGCAAACTAGAAATACCACAGGAAATAGCAAACAAGAGGACTCCACTAGCAATAGTGAGGATATGTTACCAAAAGCAACTTGTGGGAGCTCCATTGTTGGTGCTAGTGAGGATAGGAATAAGACAGGTAAACATGCACCAACGGGGAATACAGTCACAGAAACCCAAGGCAAACGGAAGCCAAGCCTGTGCACATACTATGCACTTGGCATCTGCAAGCATGGGAAATCTGGAAAAACAGATGGGACGTGCAACTATGACCACCCTAGAAAATACCGTGCCCATATGACAACAGGAAAATGCAAACTCCCTTCCTGTAAGCTTTTTCACCCTGAAATGTGTACCTCTTCAGTACAGGAAAGACTGTGCTATAACTTAAATTGCCAGGCACACCATCTAAAGGGGACAAAAAGATACAAAACATCCAGGCCATGGGAAAACCTGGGTAGCCACAGCCACCCAAGAGGGAGAGGTTTTTTAGTGCCAGGAAGGAAAAAAAACTGGCAGGAAATGGCAGAAATCGTACATCAAATCCAGTCATTCCTGGAGTGGAACCACAGTCGATGGCCTCCACTCCAAACCAATAGATACAGATACTAATGCCGGAAAAAAAATCCCCCCCAGTACCAACAATACCACCAGTCCGATGACATTCTTCTTTGCAAATATACAGGGTCTAAAGCCAGCAACAAACAACAAAATACCTTTCATCCGTGGACTGCTTGCAGAGACAAAGGCAATGTTCGCGGCTTTCACTGACACCCACATAAAGGATCACTTGGACAACGAAATATGGATCCCAGGTTACAACCTATACAGATGCGACAGAGTGAACAGGCAAAAGGGGGGGGGGGGTAGGTCTGTACATTGCAGAGTCACTTGTTTGCACAGAAGTGCTAAATGCCTCAAATGATGTAGTGGAAGTTTTAGCAGTAAAGGTCGAGAACCAAAACCTAGTCATTGTGGTAGTCTACAAGCCTCCGGATGCAACATCCCAGCAATTCCAGGAACAGCTGTTAAAAATTGACCACTGTCTGGAAAATCTTCCAGCTCCTGCACCCAACATCTTGCTTCTGGGGGATTTCAACTTAAGGCACCTAAAATGGAGGAATATAGCAAATAATATTGTTGCAGTAATAACACCAGGAGGCAGCTCTGATGAAAACTCACACTCACAAGAGCTTTTAAATCTCTGCACAAAACTCAATTTAACCCAGCAAATAATAGAGCCTACTAGGCTGGAGAATACACTAGACCTCATCTTCACTAACAATGATGATCTGATACGAAATGTCACATATCAAAAACAATATACTCAGATCACAACATAATTGAGGTTCAGACATGTATGCGTGGAGCCCCAGACCGACATAATGAGACTAGTCACGAGGGAGCATTCACCAAATTCAACTTCAACAACAAAAACATAAAGTGGGACCAAGTAAACCAAGTCCTGACCGATATAAGCTGGGAAGATATACTAAGCAACACAGACCGCAACTTATGCCTAGAACAGATTAAATTGGTGGCACTCGATGTATGCTCAAGGCATATTCCTCTAAGAAAAAGGAGGAGTAGATGTAAAATAGAAAGAGACAGGCGCTCCCTTTACAGGCGACGGAAAAGAATAACAGAGCGGCTAAAAGAGGTCAATATATCTGAAATGCATAGGGAGACACTGGTCAGAGAAATAGCAAGCATCGAACTTAAGCTAAAGGAATCTTATAGGAGTCAGGAATCGCGGGAAGAACTAAAAGCCATAAATGAAATCGAAAGAAACCCAAAGTATTTCTTCTCCTATGCCAAATCAAAGACGAGAACAACGTCCAGTATTGGGCCCCTACTTAAACAAGATGGGTCCTACACAGATGACAGCAAGGAAATGAGTGAGCTACTCAAGTCCCAATATGACTCAGTTTTTAGCAAGCCGCTAACCAGACTGAGAGTCGAAGATCAAAATGAATTTTTTATGAGAGAGCCACAGAATTTGGTTAACACAAGCCTATCCGATGTTATCCTGACGCCAAATGACTTCGAACAGGCGATAAATGACATGCCCATGCACTCTGCCCCAGGGCCAAACTCATGGAACTCCGTGTTCATCAAGAACTGTAAGAAGCCCCTATTACGAGCTTTTACCATCCTATGGAGAGGGAGCATGGACACGGGGGTCGTCCCACAGGTACTAAAAACAACAGACATAGCCCCACTCCACAAAGGGGGCAGTAAAGCAACAGCAAAGAACTACAGACCGATAGCACTAACATCCCATATCATAAAAATCTTTGAAAGGGTCCTAAGAAGCAAGATCACCACCCATCTAGAAACCCATAAATTACACAACCCAGGGCAACATGGGTTTAGAACAGGTCGCTCCTGTCTGTCTCAACTATTGGATCACTACGACAAGGTCCTAGATGCACTAGAAGACAAAAAGAATGCAGATGTAATATATACAGACTTTGCAAAAGCCTTCGACAAGTGTGACCATGGCGTAATAGCGCACAAAATGCGTGCTAAAGGAATAACAGGAAAAGTCGGTCGATGGATCTATAATTTCCTCACTAACAGAACACATAGAGTAGTAGTAAACAGAGTAAAGTCCGAGGCAGATACGGTGAAAAGCTCTGTTCCACAAGGCACAGTACTCGCTCCCATCTTGTTCCTCATCCTCATATCTGACATAGACAAGGATGTCAGCCACAGCACCGTGTCTTCCTTTGCAGATGACACCAGAATCTGCATGACAGTGTCTTCCATTGCAGACACTGCAAGGCTCCAGGCGGACATCAACCAAATCTTTCAATGGGCTGCAGAAAACAATATGAAGTTCAACGATAAGAAATTTCAATTACTCAGATATGGTAAACACGAGGAAATTAAATCTTCATCAGAGTACAAAACAAATTCTGGCCACAAAATAGAGCGAAACACCAACGTCAAAGACCTGGGAGTGATCATGTCGGAGGATCTCACCTTCAAGGACCATAACATTGTATCAATCGCATCTGCTAGAAAAATGACAGGATGGATAATGAGAACCTTCAAAACTAGGGATGCCAAGCCCATGATGACACTCTTCAGGTCACTTGTTTTATCTAGGCTGGAATATTGCTGCACACTAACAGCACCTTTCAAGGCAGGTGAAATTGCTGACCTAGAAAATGTACAGAGAACCTTAACGGCGCGCATAACGGAGATAAAACACCTAAATTACTGGGAGCGCTTGAGGTTCCTGAACCTGTATTCCCTGGAACGCAGGCGAGAGAGATACATGATTATATACACCTGGAAAATCCTAGAGGGACTAGTACCGAACTTGCACACGAAAATCACTCACTACGAAAGCAAAAGACTTGGCAGACGATGCAACATCCCCCCAATGAAAAGCAGGGGGGTCACTAGCACGTTAAGAGACCATACAATAAGTGTCAGGGGCCCGAGACTGTTCAACTGCCTCCCAGCATACATAAGGGGGATTACCAACAGACCCCTGGCAGTCTTCAAGCTGGCACTGGACAAGCACCTAAAGTCGGTTCCTGACCAGCCGGGCTGTGGCTCGTACGTTGGTTTGCGTGCAACCAGCAGTAACAGCCTGGTTGATCAGGCTCTGATCCACCAGGAGGCCTGGTCACAGACCGGGCCGCGGGGGCGTTGACCCCCGGAACTCTCTCCAGATAATCTCCAGGTAAACATAAACAGAAACAGTGCACTGAAAATTCTAGCTCGCGCACCAGGTACAGTGGACCTACAATATTGCATGGTCTCTCACTGCTTCCTGCAGTGCTGCATGGTCTCTCACTGCTTCTTGCAGTGCTGCATGGTCTCTCACTGCTTCCTGCAGTGCTGCATGGTCTCTCACTGCTTCCTGCAGTGCTGCATGGTCTCTCACTGCTTCCTGCAGTGCTGCATGGTCTCTCACTGCTTCCTGCAGTGCTGCATGGTCTCTCACTGCTTCCTGCAGTGCTGCATGGTCTCTCACTGCCTTCTACAGTGCTCACCAGTCTCTCACTGCCTCCTGCAGTCCTCACCGGTCTCTCACCGCAGCGAGGAGGAAGCTGGAGGCAATTGCGATGTTATATTTGAGTATAATGAGTAGTGTGAATTCTATGCAAAGAATTAGGAATATGGAGAAAAAAAATGATGTGGGAATAGGTAAAAAAAAAAAACCCGGCTGAGTAGCTACCCGGGTGTTTTTCCATGAGCTGGTGATAGGCGCTTTTAGTGACCGGGGAACAGGCTGAGTAGGGAATAGAGCATTATCCTAGATCGGCTATGACTATGCTTTAGCGGCTAAAGTTTAGCCCCTGGACCAAGGATATTGAGCTATTATTGAAAACTGTGTTTATTTATCTGTCACATGTCTTCCAAAATGATATTTTGCATGCAATAATTATCATAAAAACATAACAGAGATGCCGAAATAAATAAGAAAAGACTTATTGTCTTTGGCAAGACAGTGATGGAGTGAATGATGATGAAAGTTTTTCTTTTTTTCGGGCCACCCTGCCTTGGTGGGAAACGGCCGATGTGTTAATAAAAAAAATAATATTCTGAAAAGTGATCGGAGCAGAGCGTAAAAAACCGTCTATAGCAGTTTATGCTCAAAACTTATATTTTTACATTCTCTCTAGTCCACTAACACTATAGAAAACATGTGTATCACGGGGTAACTATAGAAGAACACTAATATACAGTGCGATTTTTTTTTTTTTTTTTAACACAGGGTTTGACAAGGTTAAGGATCCCTGGTTTTATTGACAATCTATTTACAGGTTAAGGATTCTCTCTCTCTCACAAAAAAAAAAAAAAAAAAAAAAATCCCGGTGGCCTGGTGGCTAAAGCTCCCGCTTCACACACGGAGGGCCCGGGTTCGATTCCCGGCGGGTGGAAACATTTCGACACGTTTCCTTACACCTATTGTCCTGTTCACCTAGCAGCAAATAGGTACCTGGGTGTTAGTCGACTGGTGTGGGTCGCATCCTGGGGGACAAGATTAAGGACCCCAATGGAAATAAGTTAGACAGTCCTCGATGACGCACTGACTTTCTTGGGTTATCCTGGGTGGCTAACCCTCCGGGGTTAAAAATCCGAACGAAATCTTATCTTATCTTATCTTAATCTTATGTTTGGCTGGGTTTTTCTCGATATCTAGGAAGAAAGTTATTGACGTGTTTATTGGTCACCATCAATTAATAATGAACGGACTGGCAGCAGGTTATCAACAAACATTCAACAAAGAATGCTTTACAAACTAGTGCAAATATTCTCGCAATGGCACAATTTTTTTTTTTTTGCATTTGTTGGGCTTAAATGCCAGATATTTTACAATATTTCAATAGGTTTATTACAGTATCTAAATACAATTTTCAGTATATACTTTTTTATTCACTTGTTTGTTGGCCGATCTTAGTGAAACTTGTATATGAAAGAAAGACATGTAGGCTTATACAAACACAAAATATAGAAACTGGACGAAAAATAGAAAAAATCTACTAAATTATTCTCCCCTGAGGTGCAGGTGGCCATAAATATACACGGTGCAGGTGGCCATAAATATACACGGTGCAGGTGGCCATAAATATACACGGTGCAGGTGGCCATAAATATACACGGTACAGGTGGCCATAAATATACACGGTGCAGGTGGCCATAAATATACACGGTGCAGGTTGCCATAAATATACACGGTGCAGGTGGCCATAAATATACACGGTGCAGGTGGACATAAACATAATTGGTGCAGGTGGAGACACACACTTACACGGTGCAGGTGGACATAAACATAAATGGTGCAGGTGGAGGCACACTTACACGGTGCAGGTGGACATAAACATATCGATGATCTTGATGTAGGAGACAGGAGGGAGGGAAGCCTGTGACTTGGCGTGCTGAGTAGAGAGTGTCAGCAGCGAGGTCACACCCAGGGTCACTCTGGCAGGGGCAGCCTCGGGTTTGATCCAGAACGACACCCACTGTGGAAGGTAAGCGGGGTCAGCGTGCTGTTGTAGAGCTATAGCTCTTGGCTCCTGTTAACTACTCTTGAAACTGAATGATATCTGCCTCCACCTTACTTTAATTAATTCCAATTATTAGTATCATTATTATTTTTATAATAATAATAATAATAATAATAATAATAATAATAATAATAATAATAATAATAATAATAATAATAATAATTATTATTATTATTATTATTATTATTATTATTATTATTATGTTATTATTATTATTATTATTATTATTATATTATTATTATTATTATTATTATTATTATTATCATCACACATTTCTATCTCACTGCTCATCCCTCTCCCTCACACTTCTCTCACTCAATCATCAGTTTCTCCCACTTACGAATCCCATTCTTCCTAATTAGCTTTCTCACACATTTGTTCCTTATTTCTCCCTCTCTCTCTCTCCTCCTCAGCTTCCCTTACTCCCTCCACCCATCCTCCCCTTTCCCTTCTTCCTCCCCTTCCCCTATCCCCTTTCCCTTCCCCTCATTCCATTCCCCTCCTCTATTTCGCCTTCCCTCCTTCCCCTCCTGTCCATCTCCTCATCCCATTCCCCTCATCCCATTCCCCCTCGTCCCCTTCCCCTCGTCCCGGCAGCAGTGGGTACGTACAGACATGATGACAATAAGGCAGGTGGGCATATACGTGTGGAAGAGATAGTACCCGAGGCGGCGTCGCAGCTGGAAGACCACCTCCAGACAGGTGAAGTTACCTGTAGTGTGAGGGAGAGACGTAACACCTGTTATAACACATGTTATAACACCTCCAGACAGGTGAAGTTACCTGTAGTGTGAGGGAGAGACGTAACACCTGTTATAACACATGTTATAACACCTCCAGGCAGGTGAAGCTACCTGTAGTGTGAGGGAGAGACGTAACACCTGTTATAACACCTCCAGGCAGGTGAAGTTACCTGTAGTGTGAGGGAGAGACGTAATACCTGTTATAGCACATGTTATAACACCTCCAGGCAGGTGAAGCTACCTGTAGTGTGAGGGAGAGACGTAACACCTGTTATAACACATGTTATAACACCTCCAGGCAGGTGAAGCTACCTGTAGTGTGAGGGAGAGACGTAACACCTGTTACAACACCTGTTATAACACCTCCAGGCAGGTGAAGCTACCTGTAGTGTGAGGGAGAGACGTAACACCTGTTAAACACATGTTATAACACCTCCAGGCAGGTGAAGCTACCTGTAGTGTGAGGGAGAGACGTAACACCTGTTACAACACCTGTTATAACACCTCCAGGCAGGTGAAGCTACCTGTAGTGTGAGGGAGAGACGTAACACCTGTTATAACACATGTTATAACACCTCCAGGCAGGTGAAGCTACCTGTAGTGTGAGGGAGAGACGTAACACATGTTATAACACATGTTATAAGACCTCCAGGCAGGTGAAGTTACCTGTAGTGTGAGGGAGAGACGTAACACCTGTTACAACACCTGTTATAACACCTCCAGGCAGGTGAAGTTACCTGTAGTGTGAGGGAGAGACGTAACACCTGTTATAGCACATGTTATAACACTTCCAGGCAGGTGAAGTTACCTGTAGTGTGAAGGAGAGACGTAGCACCTGTTATAACACCTCCAGGCAGTTGAAGTTACCTGTAGCGTGAGGGAGAGACGTAACACCTGTTATAATACCTACTACACAGGCTCTAGGCAGGTAAAATTACCTGTAGTATTTTTATAATATTGGCTGGTTTACTGTGCACCTCATGTCCATCCTGTGAACGATAACGAAAGAGCATGTGGATATAAAACAGGCCCATTAACTAGGCCCCATTAACTATGAGTACATCTCTTGCAAGCAATTTTAGAATATTGACTTAATATATCTGCTATCTTATTGTCATTGATAAGATATCTTGATATGTCACATACATGCTTGTAACCAAGCCTGGCTACATCAGTCAGTACTTGTAACCAAGCCTAAGCCTGGCTGCTACAATATCAGTCAGTTCTCGTAACTAAGCCTAAGCTAGATATCTTCAGCATCAGTCAGTCTGTTCACATCACAACGTTGCTCCTTAAACATACTTATCTACCTTCATGTTATCATAGTGAATGATAAATCTTCTCTTATAACATTCAATTTCATTATTTAATTTCCTTCTAATATTATTCATAATTCACGACACAGACAAACCAAAGTTAAATTCTTCATTTTCTTTGAAAGTAATTAACTTAGCTAACTTAGCAACTTTATCATGTTGGAGTAATTCAGTGTGTGATGAAATCCTTTAAAAAAATGATAATTCCTTTTTCTCTGATTTTTAAATTTCTATACCTGGCTTCTCCAATGAGCAAGTTGTTAGAATTATCATTTAAGTTAAGCGCCTTCAGTGATACCATAGGATCAGTAATTATCATAGAGTCAGGCTCAGTCTCATAAGGTAATGTTAGTGTCATTATGATGATAAACAATTCAGTTTGCAATGTAGACGCCCAGTTCTTAATTCATTTGCCAAACTCAACATGGTTCCTACCGTTCTTAATTAACTAGAGAGGTGACAACAAGAGCAGGTGCAGCCCTGCCAGTAGACTCCTGCTTAGATCCATCAGTGTACATGACTTGTGATGGATTATTAATAACAGTTAAGAGAGAAATTTCTTCTTGAACAGTAGCCTTTGCAGTTGATTTAAGGAAGGAATTACTAGTAATGAGTTTTTTGGAAGGGACTTGCAGGTATGTGGTATTAAATGAATACATCTTCCACAGAGGAGTGAAATACTCTTGTTGTCTGCAGTGGTACAGTTTGTGCAAGTTATAAAATTTAATACTATTGCATGCTTTAACATCTGTTACTCCACTCTCAAGCAGGTGAAGTCACCTGCAGTGTGTTGGAAGGAGGAATACCTGTTACAACACATGTTATACCACCTCCAGGCAGGTGAGGTTACCTCTAGTGTGGGGGAAGGAGAAACACCTGTTACATCGCCTCCAGGTAGGCAAAGTTACATATAATGTGAGGGAGAAGAAATACATGTTACAACACCTGCTACACCTCCACTCAGGTGAAGTCACCTGTGATGTATGGGAGAAATAAACATCTGTTGCAACAAGGAACAACTGTTATAACACCTGTCACACCATCTTCAATAGGATGAAGTTACCTTTAGTGTGAGGAGGGGGGAGTGGGAAGAAAAAACCCGTTACAATACCTGTTGCAACACTTCTTACACATCCCGTTACTACTCCTGTTACAACTGCTGCAACTGTCGATATGTTTTGTAACGTCAACAAAAATTTGCATGACTAAAAGAATGTTTTTGTGTGGCCAGGAGGATGTTTATGACTTTTTCAAGATTGTTTTGAGACAAGACACATATTTTTAGTTGGCAAGACAATATTTGAACATTAAAATGGTATAAAATACCGACAGGTTGTTAGGTAAGACACATATGCAACAGTTAGGTATCTTTATTTCGAAACGTTTCGCCTACACAGTAGGCTTCTTCAGTCGAGTACAGAAAAGTTGATAGAAGCAGAAGATACTTGAAGACGATGTAATCAGTCCATCACCCTTAAAGTTTTGAGGTGGTCAGTCCCTCAATCTGGAGAAGAGCATTGTTCCATGGTATGAAACAATAAAGATACCTAACTGTTGCATATGTGTCTTACCTAACAAGACAATATTTCTTGAGGTCTGAAGGACGTTCTGTGGGTTAATTGTTGAGATACTAGGGATGCTTTCTGAGGTAATAATGACGTTTGCTGGAATGTTGGTATTTTCTGATGTATGAAGATGTTTTCTGAGGTATGGCGATGTTTTCGTATGTAACGATGTTTAGTTGGGAATGATGTTTACTGAAATAATTAGGATGTTTTCTGAGACTGAAATATATTTGGGGAGATTACTATTTAGCTTCCGGAGGTCATTGAGATGTTGAAATTATTGAAAGGTCAGATCATGTTAATCCTGTCAGGTGACCTTAACTTACTAACTGACTAACTCCCTGACTGAGAGAACTTACTGACCTGTAAAGTAGACCTGAGTGCAGTCGGCCGTGTGGTTCCTGACCAGGTCGAACTGGGGCAACTCAATGTTGTCGTCGACTTCCAGAGGTATATTGGGGTCCCAGTCGAAGACCAAGTCCTCCGTCGTGTGAGAAACTGCAGAGGGAGAAGCAAGAAGACTCAATACTCATGCCTCGAAGACCTTTTCTAATTAAATGCAAATGAGACTTCCAGGTGGGTGTTACAAGGTGAATACGATAATTACATAGTGGGAACACCAGCAGTGTATTGCAGTCCTGGAAAGAAAGGCACCAATGTTTTCCTGTCTTATTCCAAAACAGAGGATGAGTTTAGCATATGAGGCAATGTTATGTGTCAGCCTGAGCTGGGAGACTTCAGCAAAGTCAGCTTGAGTTGGGAATCTTCAGAAGCGTCAGCTTGAGTTGGGAGACTTCAGATCTTAGTCTGTAAAATTGATGTGTAAAAAGAATGTGTCAGGCTGAGCTGGGAGACTTAAGTAGTCTCAGGCTGAGCTGTGAGATTTCGGAAGTGTAAGCCAAAGCTGGCAGACTTCAGTAGTGTCAACCTGAACTGTGAGACTTCAACAGTATCACCATGAGCTGGGAGGCTTCAGTAGTGTCAGCATGAGTTAGGAGGCTTCAGTAGTGTCAGCCTGAGCTGGCAGACTTCAGTACCGTCTTCCTGAACTGGGAGGTTTCAGTAGTGTCAGCATGAGTTAGGAGGCTTCAGTAGTGTCAGCCAGAGCTGGCAGACTTCAGTAGCGTCTTCTTGAACTAGGAGGCTTCAATAGTGTCATACTGAACTGGGAGACCTCAGTAAGATGACGAGGATACCGTCAAGTATTCTACGGCAGAGCTGGAGTTACTATCACTTAGTTTTGGGTGGTGGCTGGAATTTTGAAGATATTTAGTAAGTCAGAGAAGTTAGGTTAGAGTTAAAAAGGAAGAAATCAGTGGTCCATGCCAGGTCAAAACGGAAAAGATTAGGATAAATATCAGCTGCCAGCTAAAGAGAAAACAGAAAACAGGGCCGGAAATGTTCCAAACACGTAAAAGGAAAACAGTGGCCTTTGCCTTGGTAAGCTCTCAGATCACTGCTGGCCTGACCTTACGAGGTGGCCTCTGACCTCTTTGTCATGCCCAAACACAGTGACCTTCTTACGTGACGTAAGAGACCAATCTGTATATGTTTGACCTTTATTTTCTGGTTCCTCATTGGCCTGGCATTTTGCGAATGTCATCATTGTCATCAACACACAAACCTGCCATAGGAAACGGAAATCTGTACTGAGGACACCTTACATAAACACTGCTTGCATTGCTATTGCTACTACCACTACTATTACTACCACTACTACTACTACTACTACTACTACTACTACTACTATTACTACTACTACTACTATTGCTACTAATACTACTACTACTACTACCACTACTACTTCTACTACTACCACTACTGCTACTCATACCACAAGTATATACGATTCTAGTACCTGCTGGTGAATGGTGGTGGTGATAATGGTGGTGGTGATAATGGTGGTGATGGTGATAATGGTGACGATGATATTGGTGGTGGTGATAATGGTGGTGGTGTTAATGGTTGTGGTGATAATGGTGGTGGTGATAATGGTGGTGGTGATAATGGTGGTGGTGATAATGGTGGTGGTGACAATGGTGGTAACGGTTTTTGCGTTACTCTCTCTCTCTCTCACACACACACACACACACACACTCTCTCTCCCTGTCTTTCTCCCTCTCTCTCTCTCTCTCTCTCTCTCTCTCTCTCTCTCTCTCTCTCTCTCTCTCTCACACACACACACACTCTCTCTCTGTCTTTCTCCCTCTCTCTCTCTCTCTCTCTCTCTCTCTCTCTCTCTCTCTCTCTCTCTCTCTGTCAACATGAACTACGCACAGGTGGACACCACAGGTGGTTACTCACGGCTCTCCATCTGCAGCTTGCACTCTTGAGTGTCATGTGGGTAGATGGCGTAATTCATGGCACAGGAGAGCGTCAGCGTCAACCTGAAGGAGGCCATGAAGATGGTAGTGAGAGAACTATATCTTAAGGAGGCCAAAAACATATGTTATTCACCAGTCCATGACGGAAAGTGTTACAACACAACCTGTTCTCAACACCATCTGAAAGGGACTGGAAGGGACTGGAAGGGACTGGAAGGGACTGGAAGGTACAGATCCCACAGACCTTTGGAAACAGTCCATGATAGTTACAACCACTTAACAGAAAGAGATTTTTAAGTGTCAGCCTGAAGAAGACTGGCAGGAAATAACAAAAATACTCCACCACCTCGTAGCCTTACTGGAGTGGAGGCTCAGTCAGTGGCTCCAACTCCAGAATAACAGATATTATTGTAAACAAAACCCCCAACCACTAGTAGTAGTCATGAGGGTACATGACTACTACTACTGCTACAAGGAACTGAGGGTACATGGCTACTACTACTGCTACAAGGAACTGAGGGTACATAGCTACTACTACTGCTAAAAGAAACTGATGGTACATAGCTACTACTACTGCTACAAGGAACTGAGGGTACATAGCTACTACTACTGCTACAAGAAACTGATGGTACATAGCTACTACTACTGCTACAAGGAACTGAGGGTACATAGCTACTACTACTGCTACAAGAAACTGATGGTACATAGCTACTACTACTGCTACAAGAAACTGAGGGTACATAGCTACTACTACTGCTACAAGAAACTGATGGTACATAGCTACTACTACTGCTACAAGGAACTGAGGGTACATAGCTACTACTACTGCTACAAGAAACTGATGGTACATAGCTACTACTACTGCTACAAGAAACTGAGGGTACATAGCTACTACTACTGCTACAAGAAACTGAGGGTACATAGCTACTACTACTGCTACAAGAAACTGATGGTACATAGCTACTACTACTGCTACAAGGAACTGAGGGTACATAGCTACTACTACTGCTACAAGAAACTGATGGTACATAGCTACTACTACTGGTACAAGAAACTGAGGGTACATAGCTACTACTACTGCTACAAGAAACTGATGGTACATAGCTACTACTACTGCTACAAGGAACTGAGGGTACATAGCTACTACTACTGCTACAAGAAACTGATGGTACATAGCTACTACTACTGCTACAAGAAACTGAGGGTACATGGGTACTACTACTGCTACAAGGAACTGAGAGTACATGGGTACTAATACAAGGAACTGAGGGTAAATGGGTACTAATACAAGGAACTGAGGGTACATGGGTACTGATACAAAGAACTGAGTGTACATGTCTCCAGCTACAAGACACAGGTGACACGGTCCCGTAGCTAACGTACTTGACCATGTAGAGGATAGTAGAGTCCTTGTGGAGCCAGACGTAGTGATTGGGGATGGTCATAGTCTGGAAGGTGACCTGCTTGGCGTTCTTAAAGAAACTATCCGGCCTCCACATGTCGTTCAGCCAGTCCACCTCCAGGAGCCTGTCAACGAGGGTAAGATAATGTTGTTGTTGTTGAAGAGGATGATATTGTTGTTGTTGTGGCTGTTGTTTTTGTCGTTGTTGATGTTTTTTCCTCTGTTGTTTATATTGTTCATGTTGTTGTTGTTGTTTAGTTCGTCTGTTGTTTTGTTGTTGGTGTTGCTAATGATGTTATTGTTGTTGGTGTTGTTGTGATGTTGTTATTGTTGTTGATGATGTTGTTGATGATGTTGCTGTTGATGATGGCTATTTTTCTTACACTGGAACGCCACAACAATTCCTTGACACAAACAAATGTTCTCCTGGAAAATGTTCTTGTGAGTTTTGGGATAAGACTTAAATATCGTAAATAACTATCGAAGAAAGACTTACCACTGTGTGGTGTGTGTGTGTGTGTGTTGTGTGTGTGTGTGTGTGTGTGTGTGTGTGGTGTGTGTGTGTGTGTGTGTGTGTGTGTGTGTTTTGTGTGTGTTGTGTGTGTGTGTGTGTGTGTGTGTGTGTGTTGTGTGTGTGTGTGTGTGTGTGTGTGTGTGTGTGTGTTGTGTGTGTGTGTGTTGTGTGTGTGTGTGTGGTGTGTGTGTGTGTGTGTGTGTGTGTGTGTGTGTGTGTGTGTGTGTGTGTGTGTGTGTGTGTGTGTGTGTGTGTGTGTGTGTGTGTGTGTGTGTGTGGTGTGTGTGTGTGGTGTGTGTTGTGTGTGTGTGTGTTGTTGTGTGTGTGTGTGTGTGGGGTGTGTGTGTGTGTGTGTGTGTGTGTGTGTGTGTGTGTGTGTTGTGTGTGTGTGTGTGTGTGTGTGTGTGTGTTGTGTGTGTGTGTGTGTGTGTGTGTGTGTGTGTGTGTGTGTGTGTGTGTGTGTGTGTGTGTGGGGGTGTGTGTGTGTGTGTGTGTGTGTGTTTTTGTGTGTGTGTGTGTTTTGTGTGTGTGTGTGTGTGTGTGTGTGTGTGTGTGTGTGTGTGTGTGTGGTGTTTGTGTGTGTTTTGTGTGTGTGTGTGTGTGTGTGTGTGTGTGTGTGTGTGTGTGTGTGTGTGTGTGTGTGTGTGTGTGTGTGGTGTGTGTGTGTGTGTGTGTGTGTGTGTTGTGTGTGTGTGTGTGTGTACTCACCTAATTGTACTCACCTAATTGTGGTTGCAGGGGTCGAGACTCAGCTCCTGGCCCCGCCTCTTCACTGATCGCTACTGGATCCTCTCTCTCTCTGCTTCCTGAGCTTTGTCATACCTCTTCTTAAAACTATGTATGGTTCCTGCCTCACTACTTCACTTGCTAGGCTATTCCACTTGCTTACAACTCTATGACTGAAGAAATACTTCCTAACGTCCCTGTGACTCGTCTGAGTCTTCAGCTTCCAGTTGTGACCCCTTGTCCCTGTGTCCCTCTCTGGAACATCCTATCTCTGTCCACCTTGTCTATTCCCCGCAGTATCTTGTATGTCGTTATCATGTCTCCCCTGACCCTTCTGTCCTCCAGTGTCGTCAGTCCGATTTCCCTTAACCTTTCCTCGTACGACATTCCCTTGAGCTCTGGGACTAGCCTTGTTGCAAACCTTTGTACTTTCTCTAACTTCTTGACGTGCTTGACCAGGTGTGGGTTCCAGACTGGTGCTGCATACTCCAGTATGGGTCTAAACATACACAGTGTACAGTGTCTTGAACGATTCCTATTAAGGTATCGGAACGCTATTCTCAGGTTTGCCAGGCGCCCGTATGCTGCAGCGGTTATTTGGTTGATGTGTGCCTCCGGTGATGTGCTCGGTGTTATGGTCACCCCAAGGTCTTTCTCCCTGAGTGAGGTCTGTAGTCTTTGTCCACCTAGCCTATATTCTGTCTGCGGTCTTCTTTGCCCCTCCCCAATCTTCATGACTTTGCATTTGGCTGGATTGAATTCGAGGAGCCAGTTACTGGACCACATGTCCAGCCTCTCCAGGTCTCTTTGCAGTCCTGCCTCTCCTCGTCCGATTTAATTCTTCTCATCAACTTCACGTCATCTGCGAACAGGGACACTTCAGAGTCTATTCCTTCCATCATGTCGTTCACATATATCAAAAATAGCACTGGTCCTAGAACTGACCCCTGTGGGACCCCGCTCGTAACAGGCGCCCACTGTGATACCTCTTCACGTACCATGACTCGTTGCTGCCTCCCTGTCAGGTATTCCCTTATCCATTGCAGTGCCCTTCCTTTTACGTGTGCCTGATCCTCCAGCTTCTGCACTAATCTCTTGTGGGGAACTGTGTCAAAGGCCTTCCTGCAGTCTAGGAAAATGCAATCCTACCCAACCCTCTCTCTCGTGTCTTACTTCTGTTACCTTGTCATAAAACTCCAGGAGGTTTGTGATACAAGATTTGCCTTCCATGAACCCATGCTGGTTTTCATTTATAATCTTGTTCCTTTCCAGGTGTTCGACCACTCTCCTCCTGATAATCTTCTCCATGACTTTGCACACAATACATGTCAGAGACACAGGTCTGTAGTTTAGTGCCTCGTTTCTGTTTCCTTTCTTAAATATGGGGACTACATTAGCTGTCTTCCATTTCTCAGGTAGTTGCCCAGTTTCAAGGGATGTGTTGAAGATTGTGGTTAGAGGCACACACAGCATCTCTGCTCCTTCTCTAAGGACCATGGGGAGATGTTGTCCGGTCCCATCGCCTTTGAGGTGTCAAGGTCACTTAAGAGCTTCTTCACCTCCTCCTCAGTTGTTCGTATGTCATCCAACACTTGTTGGTATATTCCCTCTTGATGTTCCCTTCTGTGCTGTCTTCCCACAGCCCTTCCTGTCTCTACTGTAAAAACTTCCTTAAATCTCCTGTTCAGCTCCTCACATACCTCCTGATCATTTCTTGTGAGTTCTCCACCTTCTGTCCTTAATCTGATCACCTGGTCTTTGACTGTTGTCTTCCTCCTGATGTGGCTATACAACAGTTTCGGGTCAGTCTTGATTCTCGATGCTATGTCATTTTCATACTGTCGCTGGGCCTCCCTCCTTACCTGTGCGTTACTCGTTCCTGGCTCTGCGACTGATCTCCCTATTTTCGTGTGTTCTCTGCCTTCTGTACTTTTTCCATTCTCTATTGCACTTTGTTTTTGCCTCCTTACACCGTCGGGTAAAACAGGGGCTTGTTCTGGTTTTCCCCGTTGTTACTGTTGCCCTTGGGAATGAACCTTTCCACTGCCTCCTTGCATTTTGTTGCTACATATTCCATCATTTCATTTACTGGCTTTCCTGCCAGTTCTCTGTCCCACTGGACCTCCCGCAGGAGTTCTTCAACCTATGTAGTCCCTCTTTTATAGTCAGGCTTTTCCCATTCTACTCCTGTTATTCTCTCCACTTGCAGCTCTACTATGTATTCAAAGCACAGAACCACGTGGTCGCTAGCTCCTAGGGGACTCTCATACTTGATGTCCTCAATGTCTGAGCTGCCCAGGGTGAACACAAGGTCCAATCTTGCTGGTTCATCCTCCCCTCTCACTCTGGTAGTGTCCTTAACATGTTGGTGCATGAGGTTTTCCAGCACCACGTCCAACATCCTGGCTCTCCATGTTTCGGGACCCCATGTGGCTCAGGTTTTCCCAGTCAATCTCCCTGTGGTTGAAATCCCCCATAACCAGCAACTTTGCTCTGCTGGAGTGAGCTCTTCTTGCCACCTCAGCAAGTGTGTCCACCATTGCTCTGTTGCTCTCTTTATATTCCTCTCTTGGCCTCCTGCAGTTCTGTGGTGGATTATACATCACTGCAATGACCACTTTGTGTTCCCCAGACTGAAGTGTACCTGCTATGTAGTCTCTTTCTCCTGTCTCATCTATTCCTTCCATTTTCTCGAATTTCCATCTGTTTTTTTACGAGCAGAGCAACCCCACCTCCCCCCCCACCCCTTCTATCTTTCCCCATGATCTGGTATCCTGGTGGGAAGATTGCATCTTGTTATTGTCTCCATGAGTTTTGTTTTTTGTAACTGCTATGATGTCTGGGGACTTCTCATTGATTCTTTCTTGCCATTCCTCATGTTTATTCGTTATCCATCTGCATTTGTGTACCAAACCTTCAACTTCTGTTCTAATACTGTAACTGTGGTGCGGGGGGTGGAAACAGAGGGATCGGTGTTATGATGGTTGGTTTGGAATGTTCAGTTGCCTTGGGGGTGTCGTGGCTGGAGTCCTTCTGCAGGTGTTTCTGGGGGGTGCGCTTGTCCTTCCATTTGATCCTGGGTTATTCTGCTCTCCTTTTTCATTTCCTCCCATTTCTCCTTTCGTTTTTGAACTCTCTCTTTCATTGTCTTCCTTTCGTCCTGTGTTCTGTCTCGGTCGAGGTACACACTCCGGAACTCCTGCTTGCCTCTCAGCCGTGCTTTCTCCTGCAGGATCATGGTTCGGGTTGATTCTGCCTTGAAAATTACTTTGAGAGGCCGATTCCTTTTCTTTGTGAACCACCCAATTCTCCGAAAATTTGCCACCTGGGTCATGTCCCCCTCGCCTATCACCTTCATGATGTCTTCAATCGCTTTTTTCTCCTCCTGCTTTTTTCATCATAAGTTTCCCCTTTAGCTTCGTCTAGCCCATAGACAAACACGGATCTCTCCCTTTCCACCTCCCACTGTGACTCCCATTGCATCCTCTGATGTGTTTTAGTTCCTTCCCGTGGAGTGTTCCTTCCTTCAGTCCCTTCCTTCGTTATGGCCCCTATGCTTCTTGGTTTATCCTTCCTGCTCACCTGCTCCTGGCCCCCACAGGTATCTGGTAAGGTCCTTGCACATGTCCTAGTTCCATCAATGTCTTCCAACCTCTCTTTCTGTCCTAGAGTGCTCCCTGTCTTTGTTTTGGCCCATGTGGGTTTGACAGGACCTCTGCATACAGTTTAGTTTCCATGCTTCCTTCGGACCTGTTGTCTGTGTTCGATGTAGCCATTGCCGATGCTACTTCTGTAATATCTTTGTCTCTGTGCTGTTTCAGATGTCTCAGCTCCTCTTCTAATCTCTCTATCTTGATTTCTGCTGCTGTGGCCTGTTGCTTCCACCTTC